CTGCCAGGCCACGGCAGACGACCCGCCAGACACCATTACCGAGTAAGCCTTCCAAATACGACTGGGGGTGGTCACCAAATCCGACGGGGGGTGTTAGCCAAATATGATCAGGGGTAGGGTTGTGCTTGAAATGGCGCTTCTGGTAGGTGTTTGGTCCAACCAATGCGCGCAAAAATACCTGTGATTAAACCTTCGGTTGTCGAACGGACGTTTGTGAAGTTGCGTAAGCTACCTTGCATCAGTACTTGACTTGGCGTTTTTTATGCGTGACTTGTACCGCCGCACTCACGACTCCTTCCCCGCAGTGCCAGTCTGGATCGGCGCGCCCCCGCCTTAGAGAGCGGTGCGTGTCGGCGACGCTTAACGGTGCAGATGCGAGAGTGCGTGGATCTATACCGCGAGCGGTTCGGCGGCCGTCAGCATTGGCAGCGAAGTACTGGGGTTACAACTTGGCGCTGGCGACATAGTTCGTGGATTAGAACTCAAAAATAGACGTGTCAAACTTGTTGATACTGGCATCTCTTTCGGCACTCCAGGCCTCACTCGTTACCATGACAAACGATTCGATGAATCCCTAGCACTTACCCGCAGGTTCTATCCTCACAAGAATAATATGGACGGCTTCTATGTTGCCAAGCTAATCAAACTGGACGCACTTCCTTTGGAACGAACCAAACGCGACCGTAGCCAAAAAAAAACGATAGGTCACTCCAGACTCTCTGCGGTTAGCGCTCTAACTCCCCCGTGCGAATCCCGACGCTCACAACGGGAGTTTTTTGGTTCTAATTAACACAAGCCGTCATCAGTCTCATCTTCTTGATACGGTTGCGTGTTCTTGATGCGTGAGTCAATGCCCTTAGTGCTCCAGCAGTTGTTACGTTTGTGGGGTGATGGCTTCGATATTTTGCAGCGCCAGGGTCCACACAGGCTGCGTGCTGCGACTCACTTGTTGGATTTTATTGTTCGCAAAATGGACCAGCCTTTGTTCGGCGACCTGATAGCACCCGCGAATGAGGACGCGTTGAGGCTCCACGGACGCAGCCATGGAGAAGTCCAGTTGCCCGTTCTCGGCTTCTAGACTTTTGATACGGTCTACCTCATTATTCAGCAACTTCCGCCGCTTCTGAGCACCGCCATCCATCGCCTTTTCTGTCATCGCCACAACCCCGCCTCGAATCCCATGAGGGGCAACACCGGCGCCGACCATGGTTGTCACGTCTGCACCCGCCACACTGACCTTGGCGCCTGCCCCATTGCCCGTGGACGTGGTCCTGGGGCGCTTGGTCCTGGGGCTATGCTGCGTAATAACCGTCTGTTGCATGATACCTGTCGTGGCCTTCGGAGCGTGCTTGCGATGGGGAGCGGCATCTTGAAGCAGGTCGAGGTAGGGGTCGTTGTAATTGGGTGTGTCATCTCGCACGTCTAGTATTAGCTGTTGGACGTGCTTCAAGTCTTCGGCGCTCCATTGAGCAAGTGCGTCGGGTAGAGTGTGTGGTGCACGGTGGCACTTGACGAGTGCCTTGTACAGTTGTACATGAGCGCCGAGTGGCGGTTCATTACGTTCACGTGCAGTTAAATCGCGCCAAGCGAAAACCGTCTCGAGCACTC